CCGGCTCAGGGAAGGTGGGAAGCTTGGCTTCCTCCATCACCCAGGCAACCAAGCCTCCTGCTTGCTCCAGCTCCGTGGATGCCAGCCGCCATCTTGGTTGTGTTAATTTGCATATAGTTGCTCTGATTGGCTGGTGGGTGTGGCTTGGACATAGCAAAGGTATGATCAATTAGCACCTTTGTCTTTTATTAGTGTAGATAGTTTCTTTATGTAATAATTTAAGGAGGGGATAGTCACTAAGCAGAGTGGCACAGTATCTAGGACCTATGATACTTTTAGGTGCCCACAAATATATTTTAATTTTAATTACTTTTAAACTCAGAAGAAAAATCTGAGTTTATATATAAAAGGCTAAGTGACCATCCAACTGTCCAACCACCTATACCTATGATGCGCACTGACCACCAGGGGCAGACACTCAATGCAGGAGCTGCCAAGCTGCGGTGACTTGGCAGCGGCGGTTCTTGGATGATGCACCCCAAAACCAGAGAGAAGGGAGCCCAATCCCCAATCCCTCGTGAGGCCTTGTGATTCTACCTTCGGCCATGGGTTATGTTGTTGCTGAGGCACTATCACCCCGAATCTGGTTTCCTGCACACTTGTGTTTGCATTCCACACCCTGTACAATAGCAACTTTGCAGAGCGCCCTCTCACACTCCAGGACCCCTATGGGATGTCAGAGAGCCAGTTTCGGCCCAATCCCTGCAGGCCAGGCTGAGGGACCCCACCTGCCTGGAGGGACCCGTTCACTCTACACATGCCCTTCCAGCCTCGGCACCGCCCAGGTGCAGCTGGCCATAGAGGGACCACGGTAGGTGGGCTCCAGGGTGTGTCCCCCACCTGTGCATGAGTTTTCTTTCTTTTTCTCCCCCCTCCCCACTCACTGTGCATGAACCTGTGCACCAGGCCACTAGTATTAATATAATAACAAGTTAGGGTGGGACAGGGTCTCAGGGAATCACCAGGGCCAGGTGAATAGTATTAGCCAGGTTGATGGAGACTCAGATATGGTGCCCACTGGCTGGTTCTATTGAGGAAGGGCTCAGCAAAGGAACAATGGCCTCTGTCAGCACTTCTGTCTGGGAGAAAGCTGCCTCTCCAGCCCTTGCACTGGAGCCAGACAATTCAGTTTCTCCCTATAGGTCTCTGGTGCCTTTTGAACTGCTGCACTAAGCTGAGAGAGAGTGATTCTGAGTAATTTCATGCATGGCCCTTTAAAAGGAACACCTGGGACTCCAGAAGTCCTCTGTCTCACTCAGCCACAATCTCTACTGGCTTTTACAGCCAGAAGTTATGGGCACTTCTTTTCCTGAGAACTGGAACCCTGGGCTCGGAGGCCTGGTTTGGGGCTGGGACCCCTCACCCCTGAGGGGGATCTCCACAGCCAGAATACCCCTCCTGATTTTTATCTGAGACAGGTGGGTGAGAGATGAGCCCATTCTGCATTTCCGCCCCTGTTACCAGTCTCAATGTGGCTTTTTTTTATATCCCTAGTTTAGCTAGACTTCAGGTGGTTCTGAATGATGGTTGTTCTGTGGTTTGGTTGTAATTATGATGTGGTTAAGGGAGAATTAGAGTACTGCATTCACCTATGTTGCCATCTTGACTGGAACCCTCTCATAGCTCCTATTTCTTGAAAACCTTAAAACTGTTGGACACCTGGCCAAAAGTCAAGAATATGGTAGAATGTAGCCTACATCTAATATTAGTATAGGACACTTCCTCCCTATTCCCCTACCCTCAACAACTTCCCTATGTCCAATGCAATTTCTGTCACTTTCCCTTTTCTATTCCATGTTTGTATTGTTTACAGTGTTTCCAGACACTAGAGGTAACAGTAAAAATGTCCCACTTAATTCACTTTAGTGTGTTTTTTTAGCATAAACTATACATTTTTAGGGTCTTCCTGGGCCTTCATCATCCCAGAGACAAAAGACTAAAACTGGGCAGTCAGCTCTCCTCTGAAGACCTTTGAATAATCCTTTAGCTTACACCAGCGATTTTCAACCTTTTTCACCTCATGGCACACATCAACGGATTACTAAAGTTCTGTGACACACAAAAAATAGACATTTTTCGCTGATCTGACCAAAAATTGTATAATTTTGATTCATTCACAGCAGATGGCTATTGCTGTGTTGGCTGATATCATTTTTTTTTTTTATCACTTAAGGGAAAAGAGGTCAGAGCCCCTGGCCAAATAATCAGGTATTACATGTTTTAAAAATTCTTGTAGCACACTGGTTGAAAATCACTGGCTTACGCCATAATGGCTATTATGTGTGACTCCTGGGACTTATGAATCTTATTCTAGGGACACGTCCTGCTTTCTTTGATGATCTCTGGCTCACTTACTTTCTCCAACTATCCCCTTTCCTCAGACATAGAGAAATATTACATATTTATGGCATAAATATAGATATCAGCTTAATAGAAGAAAATAACAAACCCTGTCTACATCTATAGAGAATTGCACATCCTTGTACAAAGAGACATCCACACAGGAGAAGAAACAGAACTCCTATAGTTTGCCTTTTTAAAATATAAATCTGGTCATATCACATTCCCCACCCTTGGCTTGAAGGCCTTTCCATGGCTTCCCACTGCTGCAAGGATCTCTCCAGACCTTGCAATGTCAATCTCTATATCCCTAGCTGCCCCTCGCTCTCTCTGATCCACCTGCCTGGGCCTTCTCTCAGTCCTCTGACTTCCTGAGCTCCCTCATCTTTGCACATGCCATCTCCTTAGCTACTAATGAGTCCTTTCCCTCTGCCCCCCCCAACCCCTCCCCTGTTGTTTATTCATTTTTCAGATCTTGACTTAAGCATAACCTCCACAGGAACACCCCTGCCCCACATTCAAATCTCCAACGTACATGTGTAAAGCACCACGATCATCTTTGGAGCACCCAGCATACTTGGAATTTTACTTTTGTGTAATTAAAAAATATATATCGCCTGCCGGGTTTCTTGATCTGGCATCAAGAAGGGTTCAGCAATCTGGAGAAGGCGCTGTGCATAAATTAATAAAGAGTCCAGAGATGAAACATAATTTTGAAAAGCATTATAGAGAGTCAGAGAAGACTAAGCTAAAGAAACTAAGTTCTCCTTGTCTCAGGACGCCATGCTTTTTATTAACACCAATTGTCCTAAGGCGAGTTGGAGATATACACTTCAAAGGGTAGGGTTTGTACAGAATCCATTGTCAGATTGGAAGAATTTGCCTATGGCTGTTCAGTTGTTTGGCCAGTAGGAGGCAATAACATGTAGATTAAGATGCCCTGGGCTGTCTGGCAGCAAGCAATCATCCTTTTCAGGTTTGGGGAAATGCCTTTAGCCATTCCCAGCAGGCGATAACATATGTGACTCAGCCCTTTGTTGCGTTCCCAAGTTCCATCAACCTTTCATGAAACTTGCAATTATGACAGGCTGGAACTGGCTTCCGGCAATCACCTGCCTCCCCAGTAAGACAGGAAGCTCCAGAGTGCAGAGGCCATTCGTGCTTACTGCTGCCTAGTTCAGTGCTTGGAAGCACCCAATACATATTTGAGGGACTAGATGAATAAACGAATATGCGAAAGCACCTTGGAGAAGAACAGGCACTGGACACAAGGTAACTTTCTCCTTCCCAGCCCCCAGCACATATTTACATTTCACGCCCCTTAAAAACAGGTGCCCAACTATAAAGCATCTCCGAAATGACAATTTCTATTAATATTATCTCC